TAGAATGATGGACTTAAAAATCTCTCTTTCCTTTGAAATTCAGTATGAACTTTGAGAAAGCAGCCGATCCTCAAGGATGTTGAAGTTGAGCTGTCACACACCCCTGGAGCTTCAGACAAACTGGAGCTGTGAGCACCCAGTTTTACCTGTTTTTATTTTATAGTCCCACCTTCACTCCAGCCCGGGTTCATCGTTCACCGCCACTGAGCAACGCTACAGACCCAATCCCAGACTGACTGAATTTGGGGCCCAGCGTTAGAAAAACTGAAAGAAACGCAGGTCTCCGTCTTTAAAAGCCCGTGTTGGTTAGCAGTTACCACTTAGAGAGATCTCAGATATCGATAACTGACCTTCACAGGATCCAGCTCCCCAAGGCTTCCAGCGCTTTGGCCCTGACCCAGAAAAACACTTACACACATGTTCAGCCTTTAAGCATGTGAGCCATCCCCATTTGAGTTGTTGCCGTGTTGTACAAGGGGGCAGACTCTCAAAGTAACTCAACCCACGACAGTTTTTAGGTCTGAAGCTCATCCCTGCGTGCATGGCAGCACAAAAGCCCCAGCACAGCGTTACGGATCTGGTGGCTTTCTTGTAAGCTCTGCAGCCTTTGCAGCATCCCAGCTCCCAGAGTCGTGCAATTACACGAAACCCTCTTCTGCCTTTTTATTTTCTTAAAAGGAATTTCGAGGCCATGTGGTTCTGATGAATACCTTGAAAAATTCCACTTAAAAGAGCAAAAAAACTCTACACAACCCAGAAAGGATCTTTAAAATAACTCATTTCTTCTTCACAATACAGACAAAATACAATCCACTTCCTCTTAACAAAAAGCAAATAAAAACAATCCACAATGCATACCATTGTTATTATTTTTATTATTATTGTTGCTCTTATAATTAGAAAACAAAGCTAACGCTGCTTCCCTGAACAGGGGGTAGCTTTTGCTCTAGATGAATAAACCATGGCTCTGCTGACATATTTAATCAAACTCTGTCTGACTGATGAAACTGGTCCTGAGGGGAAAACAAAACAAAACAAAACATGTTGTACATGTTAAAGTCATTAATCTCAGGTGGATTTTAAGTTTCCTGTTCTTTCTCCCCCTCTCCCAAATCTTGTTTTCTGCTCCATCTCCCACGTGTAGAGGACAAAGTCATTCCTGCGCTGGCTCCCAGCTGCTCTTGGGAGCGAAGTGATGGTGTTTCACAAACCTCCACCCAATGCAGGGAAAGAAAACCCTTTGTGGTGGGGTGAGGGTGCTAAGGACAAGCGATCCCAGGACTGAATTTTCCACTTGCTCACCACATCCCCAAATACCTCCAGAGCCTCCTCCCAGCATCTTCCCGGGGCAGGTAGCCCAGAGCTGGGCAGCGCAAGCCCAGCTCACTTGGAGGATGCTAATGGTTGTCTACAGGGATCTGTTTTCTAGCAGAAAAAGGGATGTTCCCTCAGGGACTCTTTTATCATTTTCCTGACAAAGGCACTGTTAATTGTATTCAGATTTTTGCCTCCTTTCCACACCCCCCTTCCCCTCAGCAAGGGCTTTTGTAGCTGCACATGAAACACTCGTGGGCTGCCTGCTTTAGCATGATTAAGATACTTTCCATCCAACAATCGGATGGGAGTTTTCTATAATGAATGTTATTTGCCTGCCTTAGGGAGCAACCTAAATGATATAAAACTGGAAGAGGGTGAGGATGGGGGGGAATTCATCAAAAAATATAAAACCAGCTGGATGCATGCAAGGTCTAAATCCTCAGATTTGGAAATAGCTTAAAGTCCAAACTGTTTTATTAAATCACAGATATTTTTTCAAATGAATAAATGCTACAAAGCCACCAACATAATACTTTTCAAGATAGCTTACCCTTTTCCCTCAAGGCTAATAGTGTAATATTTTGAAATAACAGTATTTATGGGACTATATCAGCTGTATTTTCCCAGCTAGTGTAAATCAACAGGGCTCTGTAGTAGGACATGGAGCTGGGCCAAGCTATACCAGCTGTTAGGATCTTGCAGGGCATGTTATGAGAGAGGGAACTGTAGCATCACCCGACAGAGACATTCACAATAATTAAACCCATGTCATTCAGAAGCTGAAAGACCTCAGTGTTTTGGAGCAAAGCCCTGAAAACTGGTTGCTGCGGGGCTGGGGAGTGAAGGAGACTGGTACATGAAGGTCTTGCCCTGCCGTTAGGGATATATTTTCCTTGCAAAACTGGTTTGTGATGAATGCTCTCCCAAATATCTTTCATGCTACACATGCACAGAAAATAATTTGGCAGCCACATTTTGGACTTCTGTTGCACTGAGCATTGCAATTGAGAGCAAGGACATTTCTCTGTTCTGGCCTCTCTGTGCTTTGCTGCTGATGCCAGGAGGCAAGCATCAGAGTCAAGCTGCAAGGAGCAGGATGCACGAGTCATTCCACCAGTACGGTCCCACGTGTCCTGCTTTCGGACTCTCTTTTTATTCCTAGTTTGTATTAAAAAGAAAAGAAAAGAGAAAGCACTGCCTCCCTCTCATAAAAAGCCATTTTCTGAAAAAAAAATAGACAATGCCAGACCATCGGGGGGAGATGACCCCAATTTGCTGGATGAAGCAGGGCTGTGTAAGAAGGGAGGCTGCAGTTTATCAGACGTTGCCCTGTGCATGACTCTCATCTCGGTAAGGCACATCACCCTGGGCACATTGCTAATGCGGGGTGCAGCCACTCTGGAAAAGGACCCTGAAACATAGGTATTATAGTAAAACTGGTGTAGCGGTGTTAATTCATAGAGCAACGGCCTAGGACACGGGATGGGTCCACACAGACTCTTAGGTCAAAGAAGCAAAATTCAGATAAAGCCCATGATGGATTATCTAGAGGAGCCAGCAGAGATTTTGAGCCTGAATACCCCAAAATGCAAACCTCGAAACACTGCAACCATCTCAGTTCAACATCTTCAGTAACAGACAGCTGTGGGCAGAGGCAGACACAAAACGCGAGGTACCACGGTGGTTAAAGTTCTGCTGAAGCGTCATTTCCCACCTGATGGACCTGCAGATGGCTGGTAGGCTTACTCACATCTTTTCATGCTCTGCAAAGTTATGGTTTCTTCTGACATGGGAAAAGCAGCTGAGGAATATGGGCCCGACACTGCAGGAGTGAAATGCAGCTGAAAACAATGTGCATATAGAGCATTTCTTCCATTTCACTATTTTTTCGCCAAGCAGAAAGACTCAGGACATCAGCAAGGGAGCAAGAAAAAGAGTCATTACAGAATAGCATTGAAATGCTCGAATTTTTCTTCGGTCAGAACATCCCTGCCTTGCTGGCTTCATCAGAAACTGAAAATAAAAATAAAATTCCTTAAAAGAATGAAAATAGACCGTTTCTTTACATATCAAATGAAGCCAAATTCTGGCTTTGGAGAGCAGTGGGATTTGTGCCACCAGCCTGTCTGCATGTCAGCCTAAAGACACCTACCGCTCATCACACTGCACTGCGGAGACATTTTAGTCCACCAGCTTTTATGGGGTGACAATAACACAAACCACTGACAAACTACCAAAGGCCTCTTTCTGCCTGCTCGTCGCTGGGGGAGGGAAGGAGGCGAGGAGACCAAACCCCTTACAGCAAAGCAAAGTAGCTGAGGAGTGCAAAATATCTCTAATTTTGCTCTATAGCCCACAATGCTTTTCTTCTCCAGCTCCCCAGGGCTGGTCAGAGACATGTCAGAGGCGGTTGACTCCTAGAGAGCGGCTGGCTCGGGAAAAAAGAGGATTTGGAGGAAGACTGCGGTGTTATGGACATATTTCCCGCTCGGAAAGTGGCACTGTCCTCCCCCATTTGTGTAGGAGTGATTTTCTGGCTGCTTACAGCACTTTGCTTGGGGAACGGGTTGCCCAAAAATGATCTGAAGGACCTCACAGGCTCTGCTGCCTTCTGCTCCTGGAGCAGACATCCTTCTTCAATGTCACCTTTCCTAACAGGGACACAGAGCTGGATGCCCATTGCAAAAAAAAAGAGCAAGAAAGGGAACCTAACCTAAACTAAAACCTCCACTGCACAGCAACTCCTCTCCACACGCAGGAGCAAGGAGCAAACCACCCATGAGCGGTATTAGTCACGTTTGTTATTAAGCTCCTCGGGGTCACCGGGATATTTTACCGATGAGAGCGATCGCTGATACAAAAAGCAAAACAAGAACGGTGACTATTCCTTTCTCCAAGTGCTCTGTTTCATTGTCTTGACCGTATCTTGGCTAATTCTGCTCAAAACGAGGAGGCTGGGGAGACAGGGAATAAAGGAACTTATCTATCCCACGCCAGCGAGTGCCTCAAGCCATACTCTTCTCCTGTCCTTGGGAGGGAAAGCAGGGTTGCTTTCCAAGTAGGAGAGTGAAACATAATAATCTAACATTCTGCTGTTGCACCAGTAACTCCAGCATTTATTTCATACTATTGTTAATGCTTGTTTATAATATATAGATATATTTATGTAGGAAGTAAAGTAGACGAAAGCGCGAGATATATCTTATAAATATTTCTGTATGTCTGCATACAAAAGAAAATATGTACAGCCACAGATAGTGGTTCTCTGCTGTGTCAGGGCAGGGCCACGTGAAGGACTGGCACGTTCCCACTCCTTTCTGCAGGAATAGCCGCTGTCCTGCAAGGCTGCACTCCCTGCAGCCGGGACCGGACCCGTTCCGCTCTCTGCAGTTTTTTAGGGCTGGGCCAAGAATTTTCAGGGGGAAAAGAGGCAGCAGCGTCATTCCCTAAGGACTTGATGGCCCGATGTGGCAGAACATCGGTGGCTAAGGGCATCACACCCAAAGGGCAAGAGAGAAAGAGAGCAGGAGCTGGGTGGGTTTTTTTAACTTTCCCCACTGGATTTTGACTTTGCTTTGTTACTTTATCCTAACGGCTCTGCTATGATCTTGTGGACCCCACAAAGCCCTTCTCAGGGTACCCTATTCTCACTGCCTCCGGGATCACACGGGAGTTTTTGCATGGCTGAATTTGAAACCCCATCCAGTCTGGAAAAATCACGGACAGCTTTTCCTGCAGCAGTAACTTCAAAGTCGCAGACCTGCATAAAAAAAAGGTTAAAACGAGTTGTTCATTTCAGGGGATTGACCTGAAATCTTTCCACCTTTATCATTCGGAGTGGATGCTTTCCATGCTAAAAATTAAGTCTTTGGCAAAAAAAGGCAGTTATTGCTGAAAAGTTGCAGCATTTTCCCTTCTGGGATGGTCCTAATTCAGACTCAGTACCTGTGCTAGAAGGCATAGGCAGGTGTGGGCCTTAGTTATTTTCAAACAAGAGTTGCTTTTCTTTCCCGGGGAAAGTTTCTACTTTTGTTTCTCAAAATACTAAGGCACTTGATGGCTGGACGTCATCGGCAACCATAGGAAATATTTTGGAAGAAGATACCATCCAAAGTGATTTTTTTTTGGTCTTCTCAGAGAGCATTTTATTGGAGAGGGACGACACTTGTGAGTTTGGTTGGGTTTTTTTTTAAGGGTCTTATTTTTACTGGTGTGATTGCTTTTTTTTCCTCCTACCATCTTTCTTCAAGTCCGTGTCTTTACAAGATAAATGACGTCTAGTCGGGGAAATGTTTTCTCTTCTCTGAATAGTGCTGGGGTGCCGCTGGCGTCTCAGCTCCCGGGCGGAGAGTTTTCATTTGCACACATATCTCTCGACAGTCCTCTCGCACTTTTTACAGGTCACGTAGCAGCACCAGTGGTACTTGCAGTGGCATCGCTCCACCACTTTGTCCATGTAGGGGTTATAGCCTCTGCCGCAGCACATCAAGTCGCAGCTGTCGCTCCCGTTGGAGGTCTTGTTGCATTGCCTGGAAGGAAAGAAATGCGGTCAGCAAGTGCAAATCCCTGCAGGGCTTTCTAAACCAGTGTCCTACGGTGATGCTGGGGCCTGACAGCTCTGCAAGGCGAAGGTGAAGCCAACACGGTTGCACCTCAGCTGCAGCAAGCACATGGCAGGAGGGAGCACCCAGCCGAGCAGCCCTCTACACCTGCAAGGGAGGCAGGCAGAGTCCCAGGGCTGCGCTCACATCACCTGTGCTCATGCCCAGGATTGCACTTGCATCACCTGCTCTGACACCCAAAATAACATTAAACTCCTTTTCCGACTCTCAGTTCGTGCTCAGCAGCATTCAGGCTGCCTGTCAGCCAGGGCAGGCAGGACATAGCTCCTGTACAGGCGGAGGAGCGAAGCTATTGTGATACGTCCACCAAACCAAAAGCGCATAGTCCCTAGCAATCTGTATCCCCAGGCAGGCTCCAAAGCTGTCTGAAAAGAGCTGGAAGGAGATGATACCCTAAAGAACAAACACTGGTGTTTGTCCAACACTACCTAACCTGAAAAGGATGGTGGAGGAACCCTGCAGCCACAGAGTATTTGCACAGGCTCTGTGCCAACGATCCCAGGCTGGGAAAGCTCCTGAGCAGGCTGTTACAATCACAATACAGCTCTGACCCTATCAGGGAAATCACAACCGAAACTAGCAGGGCCAGACTCTGCTCTTTCTCCTCTGTGTGTCTCCCAGCACGGCACAAGCAGGCGGGGAGGTGGCCCTGTACCACCCCGAGTCCTGACCCAGGAGCAGGCAGCACGGCAGGAGCACAGTGTAGCATGACAAGTCGCCAAATATCACACGGACTTCCACTGCTTGTTTTGCTTCTGCTTTTAATTAAAGCCAGACCCGTTGGGATAAGTTGGCCATTGTGTGGGGTTCCCTCACTTTGTCCGCTTGCAAGCAGCTGGCTTGAGGTTGTCAGAAGTAACCCATGAATTGGGGGATCTCTTTCATTGATCATGGATCCCCAGCCATTCTCAAAAACCAGCTATCTCATTCTCTTAAAATACTCCAAGTTGGGTCACCGGACATGACAACACAACAGGTATTGACTTTTGGATGAGATTAACCATGTCATAGAGATGCCATTTGTCCATGGTCTGTAAAGATAGCCCAGGGTGGAAGTGTTCATGTTTGGTCAGATGCTTGGCTGGACACTACAGCCGTAGGGTAACAGATCTCATTACGCACCCACCACCATGGGGCTGTGAACTTGATGTTGAGTCTTGAAATTATTATAAGACAGGCAGTTTGGAGACAGGGGGAATTCCTGACATCTCTCCTAAATCTTATTCTGTGTGGCTGTTTTGGACAGAAACACTCTAAGGCTGGTTTGGGGCAGGGAGAGGAGAGAGGAGCATGAATTGGAATCTTGAGCTGACTCCATTAATACATGAAAACAAATCCATGAGATTTATAGGAATTCCTCATGAGGTAATGCTTTAGGAGAAGTTACGGGATTAATGAGGTGTTGAGATTTTGTTCTTGTTCTTCCCTTATTTTTTTCTGACTCAGGCGGGCCTCCTGTTTGTTATTTCTGACTTGCATTCCTCTCCAGGTTCAGTGTTTAAAGGCCCCCCCCCTGCTCCCCCTCATTCGGGAGTGTGTGTAAATATTTACAAACCTTTGAAAACCTCTACCGAAGCCGAAGTCTGCAACCACACTGAGCATGTTTGCCTAACGCTGAACCAAAGGCGTTGTTATTGCCCCTGCGAGCCAGGGCCCCTCCGCCAGGAAACCTCCAAATGACTCCTCATAAATGTATTAGTAAATGCATTAAATATTCGAAGCGAAGGTTCAAATATAGGCATGTTGACATTAGGAGAGGGGAGGGTATTTGACAACCTTACTCAGCTTTACCGGTGGATGGAAAGGTTGTTGCCCGGAGGTTCACCTAGGGAGGATGGGGAGTCTGCAGAAGCACAGTGATGGATGTGCAGAGCATCTGTGCCACCTCGTGCTGAGACCTCATTAAAATGGCCGAGAAAAGGAATACGGGTCCACTCTGACTCCAGTTCACCACTGAGGACGTTCAGTCCCCAAATGTACAAGGTGCCCAACAGTTAAATTTACCCCATTCAAACAGAGAGCAAAACTCTTCTACCTGCTGCCTTGAGACCTGGGAATCTCCCTTTCCTTGCACCCATTCCTGTGGCTGGCAGAAAAAAAGTAGATCTTCTAGGAGATATACCTTTCCATAACTGTCCCCATCCCACCCAGCCTGAAATAAAGAAAGGAGAAAACCAAAATCTTACTCAAAAATCCCCAAGCTTCCCTCAGCTTTGGATAAAGGAACAGGGACATTCTGGATGGATGGGTTGAATGGCCAAAACAAAGCTTTTGTTTGACCCCATCCTCAACATAAATGGGCTTCTACAAAACTTTCCTGACAATGCCACTAACCAGAGATTTTGTTTTCTGTTTTAAAGCATAGGCCTAGATGAATTATCTTTATTTTCTTTAAACAAGCCGAAACAGAGGTACTTTTTCTCAGCTGTATCTATACATACAAAAAGCAAGTGGGGGAACACAAGGAGCCCAAAAAACAGAGTTTACCCACAGAAGCTGCCCCCGAGTGTCTGCTTTCAGAGCCCACAGCTGCGATCTCACCAGGCTCCCCGCTGATGGGTTAAGTTCAATCTCATTTGTTTTGGGGCTAGTCCAGCACGATTCCAGCAACGCAGAGAAATGCCCTCCTCCTGAGCCTCAGAGAGAAAATACAAAGGCAGGCGATTGCATCTTAACACAACACCGTAACCTCTAGAAGCAGTTGGAAGACCGGTGAAAAATGATGCTTCGGCCGTAATCCCAGCCAAGGTCCTGGCTCAGGAACAGGCTTTTACATTGTCACAGTGCTTTTTCCCTTCTTTATGCAAGAAGGGAGGAGGTCAGCCCTGCTGACTAGACAAATCCTACTCAATATGCCTGTCCAAAATGCCCCCTTTCCAGCCCTCATTTGCAGAAACATTGCGGTACATCATACAGCCTCACCATGGGGCTGGCTCCTCGGCAGAGATGGTGAAGGACATCCCAGCACTTCTAAGAGTCTTCCCCCAGATGGAGAGCCTAAGCCATCTCACAGTTACCTCCTGGGGGAATTTTAATTTTAAAAGCAAAGGGGAGATGTCACACAATTTCATTGTGGATCCTGGTTCACTTCTGTCCCATCAGCAAATATAAGGATAGATTTTTCTGGTTGCCCAACTGGCATCTGAGACCCAAAGTGAGGCCAGCTCTGTATGGCGTCACCCACAATAATGACATATGATGACAGGGATGGGCGAGACGTCCACTGGGACCTCACCCAATCAGTCCTATTGATAACTGGAGAAGCTGCTTACTAGTACATAAGAAAAGTCATGCTGGGTCACAGCAACTGCCTGCCTGACCCAGTACATCTCCCAATGGCAGTGCAAGACACTGTTTGGAGAGAACAACACCAATCCGGCCACTTTCTGTAGTCCTTTTCTTCATACACCACCAGCACCTGGGCTGTTTCATTAGGGACGATCGAAGGTATGTTCCTGCCTAGACATCTCAGTATCCCTTTGAGGCCATCCTGGCCACGGGTTTGTCTCGGCTCTTTCTGACCTCAGGGAAACCATCTGCCTCCATGAACTCCAGCAGCCACACATCTCAGAAGACAGTACTGCTATGTAAAAAGTAATTTATTTTTTCTCTTTTAAATCAAATTCCTATTCATTAGTTTAGTGCCCCTTGCTCCGATAATGTCAAGTCATACAGCAGTATATAAAAGAAAGAGAAAAAATAATTCCAATCCCCCAGGAGGCATGTAACACGATGGACATGGGCTAAAAATACATTAAACTGCACAGCTTCATATAAGATTTTGAAGGCAGGATCTTAACTACTTTTAAATTGCTTTCTCATCCACAAGGAAAAACTAGAGATTGACACTGAACAACTGTACGAAAGAGTTATCAATAGCACATGTCAGCGAGGAGATGTCAAGGGAGATCCTGGAACCAGCCTGTATTTTCATTAATGAGTAGAGAGTGAGCTTCAAAATCTGTGGATAACGCTGGGGCAAAAGGAGCTGAGAGCATTTTGTGAGAGTGGATTAAAATGCAAAGTAAGCAACACGCTTTGAGAAAGACTCAGATAAATATGGGAATGTTCCCAGGAGAGTCAGAGGAGCAGTTCAGAAAGTAGAAAAGGTTGAAGGAACTGATTTAGCGAAGTTTGTAAGAGCTCTCTTCCCATCTGTAAAGATCATTGCAAAAAAAGGAGACAGAGGAAATGTTCTTTATATTCTGAGGAAAGAGGACAAGAAATTATTAGCTTTGCTTCAGATTATGATTAGTTTGAATTCAGATTAAGAAAAACATAACTCTGAGGATAGTAAGGCCCTGGAACAGGTTGTTTAGGGCAAGTGTTTTTAAGACTAGAGTAGAAAAACCCATTCAGTAACAGCCCAGGTGGTCTCAGTTCAGTCTCACTTCTAAAAAGATCAGACTCCATGGAAAGTCATTCCCAGCCCCGACGTTCCCTAACTCCAACGCTGTTTCGAGGCAGAGGGACTAAATATGTTCAGGATTACTGGTTGCATTTTTTTATCCCCTGAATTTACTATCTGCTACAATTTTACTGATGAAATTGCTCTTTCCACCAATAAATTTATTATTCACAAATCTGTTCAGGAAACCCTATGGTCAAATCCAGGTCTCTCAAAGTGGGAAGGATTCAAGAGAAGCATCGCTGGCCCAACCACTGAGATGGGCAGCAGCTACAAGCACATTGCCCTGGGGAAGTTCCTCCACTGCAGGTGAGAGGAACAGAAAGCTGTTGTTTTCCTGGTTTTCCTTCAGTTTAAACTTCTGGGACCCTCACAGAAGAATTATTTGCTATTTGTTATTCATAATTTGTTAGATCCCATGAAAAAAAGGGTGGCACACCTGATATCAGTTCCAAAAATTACTAAATCATATACATTATAAACTACTCAAAGCCAAAGTTCATCATATTGCTTCTTGGGCCTTCACTGAGTGACAGAAACAAAAAACAAACACCAAATGCTCTTGTCTACCCATAACTGCCACTCTTCCCCATCTAAATATAAGGTGCTTCTCCTAAGAAATTTCATTGCCTACGTAACTTCATGCATGTTCCTAACCCAGGAAAACACACCAGCCTAAGACACCTTGGGAGATGCTTAAGACTAATATTTTATATTGCAGAAAAGAACGAATACGTGAGGAGGGGGCAACCACCAAGAAATGGTTCGTTGCCAAAGTGAGTCAGTGAAGGAGTGGTGGCTGATCAACCCATGCCGCAGCCCGATTTCCGCAGCGTAAGAGAGGTCCTTCCCATCTTCAGCAGGGAGGGAGCAGCATTCGCTTGGCTCCAAGACTGCTCTGGGAAAGATCAGTAATAAACAGCTCAGTTATCTCTGCAAGGCTTCAGGGGCTGGAGGCTTTTGCATGCGTGGCAGAATTTCCCTTTCCTTGGATTCCTTAAGGGACCCTAAACAGCCTTTGAAATATGATACGTTGCACCCTGCTGATAAAGAAGGTTAATACTTTTGCTTCTTTTCTCACAAAAGAGATCTCAATTTTATAATCTGCTATTATTTATCATTTTCTCAAAGCTGATAATGAATTTTTCAGGCAGGAGAAACTGAGCTACGTTTTTAAAAGATGTGTTATAGGCTGCTTTTGTCCAAGAAAGCTCCGAAACTGGAACATATACATTTTTTCCCAGTGGTTAATTTGTTGTATTGAAAGTTGTACAAGCCACTTGTTGCTCCACAGATCAGCTTCTTCAGATTTTTTACTATGAGAGTGTGACGGTGGCATATAAGCACATGGAGTTTGTCTGGAGTCGATGAGGGCTGCGGTTGCAGCAACCCTGTTTGCAGGAACCTTGGACACCAGTTGCAAAGCTCAGCTCCTTAATCAGATTTTGAGCACTTCAAAGAGCCTTCAAATCTCATGTTCGGGTTCAGCTCCCTGACTTTGAAATCTGGATACACCCCAAGTGCTTGGAGGCATGCAGATTTCCAAACCATTTCTAATTTCAACAAACTATGAAAGGCCAAGTTGCCTTAGAAAACATTTCAGGCTTGTTCCGAAGAAGGCTTTGAAAGTCTTTCAGCTAAGAGCTCTGAAAGGCTTGTGAGTGACCGGGTGCACATTTTCCAAGTGGATTTTCACGCGGTTCCACTACAAGGTAATTCAATTCCCTTTCCTGCCTGAAAAACACACAATAAGTCCGCATAATGCGAGGGATAATTAGAGAGATGGAAGCCGCTGATTAGATTATCCCTTCCACCCACCTGCCGGTGCAGGATTGTTCCCTACAGCATACGCTGAAACCCAATACATCCAAGGTGTTGCAACTGAGCCATCAACCTCTGTCCTGCTTCCAGCATGCTCGGAGCAAGCACCGGACCTGGGGGAGAAGGGGGGGCGGAAAGGACTTTTTCTCCATATGATGCCAAACTACTCTTTTTTTTTTTTTTTTTTAAAGAAAATGCAGCAATCTGAATTTGTAAATCTGGTAACAGGAAAAGGGGTTGTTAATGGGGTCTCCTTCCCACTGCACCCCTTTGGAGGCAGAAAGCGGTGCTGGAAAGATGCTGGAGATGCCCAGACCGAGGTCTCCTGGAGCATGGTGAGAGGGGTCTGCACTGTAACACCCCATGGGCTGATCCCTGCACCCATGCTCACGGCCAGAAAAAGTCCAAAGAGTGAATAGGCAGGTGGTGGAAGAAGAGAGAACACAAACTGAGGGACCACCACTAAAAATCCCCTTTTGATTGCATTTGCCATAAAAGACCTTAAAAATTAGCCTAGTAGGAAACAGTGGGATCTCCTCCTAGAAAATTTTGACATGCAGAAGGATAAAATGTTAAGATGCCTCCGGGACTTGACTTATAAAATAAAAACCTGTTTGGGTTATTTCCATGTGAGCGTTTTCACATCTTTGCGGAGTAAGAATGAATCACATTTTTCCCTGCCCTCTCTAACAGCATCCCTTTTGTGCTCCTTCTCCCTCATCCCTGTCATTAGGCGCTATCTCTGCAGCCCCGCGGCCGGCTGGAACAGAGCCATTGCGTTTAAAATACATTTAGATGTCCTCTCTGTGAGAGAAAAAATGAGAAAGGAAAAAGGCATCCATGGGAGGAGGAGGTTAGGGAAGCTCCCCTCCTTTTCCCTGCAACCCCCCTCCAGGAAGAACGGACCGATCTGCAAACATATTGTGTGCATTTTACACGTATTTCCTCTGCTAACTTAATGCAGAAAAAGGGCTGCTATGGCTTGTGTCACGTGTGCCGATTTTGAGACACCGGGCATCTTCTCAAGAGCTGGCAGATGGATTGCGATGAAAATGAGTGTAACTACACATGACCTTAAAACTTGGCCCGAGAGATGCCTGCAGCTCAACACAGGACTATCCTGCCCTCCTCCCCTCCCACAGCCATCACCATCCTGCACATCCGAGAATAACGAGTATTTCTTGACAGGTTCCTTTTGAAAGTCATCCCCTCCTGCCTCAATATCTCGGTCCTCTAAATCCTCACTCAATCTCACTTCCCGTGGACCCTTGCCTGGCAGGCTCACAATCGCTGCTGTCACCCAACTCGGGATAAACGGATGCCTGCAATACACATTTTCCTATCCTCGGAAGAAAAAAAAAAATCATTCAAGACCTTGACATATTTTTCATCCTTAGCTGGGATAAAAAGGCAAAATCTGCTGTAAAATGAAATTAGATGAAGAAGTCATGCCTCCCTCCCCCTTAAAAGGATTTCAGCGCATAGAAAATGTTTTACTTGGCAAATCTGTAATGAATTCAGTTTGGTTTTGACACAACCTGTTGATTTCACACAATTCCTATAAAACTAATTTCCAAATAACCTCCAGAATTATTTTTTTTTGTTGCAAAACAGAATGACACAACAAAGACGTCTTTTTCAAGACACAAATTTGTCAAAATCCATACAAATCCACAAAAACATCGCTTTCACTCATATGACATTTTCCCTCAGAAACCAGTTTCAATG